GGTTGGTCATAACCTTGGTTATCCAGGTTGGAATATTCCTGACCAACTACTTCCCCTTATCTCATGCCACTACCGTGGTTGGTCATACCTTGGTTATCCAGGTTGAAATATTCCTGACCAACTACTGTACTTCCCTTGGAATATTCTCATGCCACTCATGCAACTACCGTGGTTGGTCATACCTTGGTTATCCAGGTTGGAATATTCCCGACCAACTACTTCCCCTCATCTCATGCCACTACCGTGGTTGGTCATACCTTGGTTATCCAGGTTGGAATATTCCCACCAACTACTTCCCTCATCTCATACAACTACTGTGGTTGGTCATACCTTGGTTATCCAGGTTGGAATATTCCTGACCAACTACTTCCCCTTATCTCATACAACTACTGTGGTTGGTCACACCTTGGTTATCCAGGTTTTAATATTCCTGACCAACTACTTCCCCTTATCTCATGCCACTACCATGGTTATTCGGACCTTGGGTTAGCAGGTCAGATTATTACCGACCAGCTACTTCGCCTTATCTCTGTGCTTACAGTATACTGACCTTCACCATCAACAGGGATGACTGCAAGCCCTTCCATGTGCAGGCACCAGGACCTTAATGCATGCTGCAAAATGTCATCCTCACTTTGCACATATGACAATGTCAGTGCTGACTCAGTCCCCATGGGAGACAAGGTCCAGCTTTCATAGGAGTCATTAAATACAGGCCATAATATTGTCTCCTAGCCTCTCCAAGGCTCCATCTTTTTTGTGGTTTGTCTCAAGCAGAGAAGAGGTTAACGGGGACTGCTTTGAAATCTCTGCAAACTTAAATTGTCTGTTTTAGAGGAAGAGCATGCAAGCTTTATGGATCTGCCTGCCTTCCATCAATAAATGCTACAGAGGTTGTTGTAACAGTATGCGGTTTCTTGTTAGCTGTACTTTAAGCGGAGAAGTGACGGCCCTCTGACAATATAATTTACATCCCCGTATAAAACTATCTCTGGAAGCCAGGCTAATTTGTGGCAGATTGGGTCATTTGTCTCAGGCAGTGTCTAACAGCCCAATCAATCAGAGCAGTGTTTCCAAAATATCGCTTTTCAAGCGTGCCCTGGAGAGGCAGGAATTGATTGGGATCTTAGAAAGCAAAATTACAGCAATAACTTAAAAGAAACAATAATTACTGAATCATACCAGTGTCAGCAAGTCTGCAGAACACGAAACAGCCATCAGTGAGCTGTTCAATATACTCCCAGGCGGATTTATTGAATGGTGGTGGGGGGGGGGGTGTTCAATTCCCCCCCTCCCTTTATCACCACTACCCCTCCCTTACCCCCTTTTCCTAAGCTTGTTTGAAAATCACAACGTACAATAATTTGTGTGCCGCATGTAATGATGACATGCTCCAGCGTATAACTATGCCGGGTATCTGGAGCATAATCCATTGTGACATTTCTACATATCGGTCTGAAAAGAAAGCGGCAATTATGCCATAATTTATTGGGTTGCTTTTAATTACACAAAGCAAAACAAAGGTAAGAGATGAATTGTTTCAGCGCTGTAGAGTGCTTTTGGTGTTTATACATGGCAGAGGCAGCCATCATAGTCTTGGCTTCCTAAGGAATTCACAAGCCATGCTTTTATGAACACGTGACAACATATCTGAATGAGAAGCAAAGGGATCGCCATGTAGCCTTCGATTACGCGTCCAGAAGACGTTCAAAATGGTCAAACCCATGCCCAACCTTCGTATGACTTCGTATGACCATGCCCAAACTTCGTATGGCCATGCCCAACCTTTGTATGACCATGCCCAACCTTTGTATGGCCATGCCCAGCCTTCGTATGGCCATGCCCAACCTTCATATGACTTCGTTTGACCATGCCCAACCTTCATATGGCCATGCCCAACCTTCGTATGACTTCATATGACCATGCCCAACCTTCGTATGGCCATGCCCAACCTTCGTATGGCCATGCTCAGCCTTGGTATGACCATGCCCAACCTTCATATGACTTCATATGACCATGCCCAACCTTCGTATGACTTCGTATGACCATTCCCATGACTTCGTATGACCATGCCCAACCTTCGTATGGCCATGCCCAACCTTCGTATGGCCATGCCCAGTCTTCGTATGACCATGCCCAACCTTCGTATGACCATGCCCAACCTTCGTATGACCCATGACCATGCCCAACCTTTGTATGACTTCGTATGACCATGCCCAACCTTCGTATGGCCATGCCCAGCCTTCGTATGGCCATGCCCATCCTTTGTATGACCATGCCCAACCTTCATATGACTTCGTTTGACCATGCCCAACCTTCGTATGGCCATGCCCAACCTTCGTATGACTTCGTATGACCATGCCCAACCTTCGTATGGCCATGCCCAACCTTCGTATGGCCATGCTCAGCCTTGGTATGACCATGCCCAACCTTCATATGACTTCGTATGACCATGCCCAACCTTCGTATGGCCATGCCCAATCTTCGTATGACTTTGTATGACCATGCCCACCCTTCGTATGGCCATGCCCAACCTTCGTATGGCCATGCCCAACCTTTGCATGGCCATGCCCAGCCTTCGCATGACCATGCCCAACCTTCATATGACCATGCCCAACCTTCATATTAATGGCTTGCTCTGGTATGCCAGGAGACCCCTAAAGCACACATGAGAATATTGGACGAATGATAGTTCCATAGTTAGTCTGATTGAAAAAAGACAAAAGTCCATCCAGTTCAACCATAGAAAAAAAAAAAAAAGTTATAATCGTACACCCACACTGGATCCAGAGGAAGGCAGAAAACCCAGCAAAGCACGATCCAATCTGCTCCTGCAGGGAAAAAAAGATTCCTTCCTGATCCCCGAGAGGCAATCGGATATTCCCTGGATCAACGTTCCCTATAAATGTTATATCCAGTTTATATTCTGTGTATCCAAGAAAGGATCCAGGACTTTCCTACAGCAATCCACTGAGCTGGCCACAACCAACTCTGGAGGGAGATTATGTTTGGAGATTACATTTCTTTTCCTCCAGACAAAAAGAGTGCCCCCTGCCAATGACACCAATGATGGGTCACAATTCCTCCCAATGATGGGTCACAATTCCTCCCAATGATGGGGCACAATTCACAATTCCTCCCAATGATGGGGCACAATTCCTCCCAATGATGGGGCACAATTCCTCCCAATGATGGGTAACAATTCCTCCCAATGATGGGTCACAATTCCTCCCAATGATGGGTCACAATTCCCTCCCAATGATGGGGCACAATTCCTCCCAATGATGGGGCACAATTCCTCTTGAGGGAGTCTATTCCACATTCTCACAGCTCTTACTGTGAAGAAACCTTTGTCTATTTTTTTGGGGGGTTTCTTTGTATGGTAGTCTCATATCGAAAGTGAAGAGTTTACTAAAGTTACGGAAATTCTCGTAAGTCAGAATAAAAATTTGAAAGTGATGTCATGTATTTGTATTGTATTTTCGGACAAAAAACCGTAATGATTAACCAATCACATGAATCGGGACCTCACAAAGAGGTCCCGTACAGCAAGCGCACACGGAGGTCCCGTACAGCGAGCAGCGCACAGAGGTCCCGTACAGCGAGCGCACACAGAGGACCCGTACAGTGAGCGCACACAGAGGTCCCGTACAGCGAGCGCACAAAGAGGTCCCGTACAGCAAGCGCACACGGAGGTTCCCGTACAGCGAGCGCACACAGAGGTCCCGTACAGCGAGCGCACACAGAGGTCCCGTACAGCGAGCAGTGCACAGAGGTCCCGTACAGTGAGCGCACACAGAGGTCCCGTACAGCGAGCAGTGCACAGAGGTCCCGTACAGTGAGCAGTGCACAGAGCTCCCGTACAGCGAGCAGCGCACAGAGGTCCCGTACAGCGAGCGCGCACAGAAGTCCCGTACAGCGACCGCGCACAGAGGTCCCGTACAGCGAGCGCGCACAGAGGTCCCGTACAGCGAGCAGTGCACAGAGGTCTCGTACAGCGAGCAGCGCACAGAGGTCCCGTACAGCGAGCGCGCACAGAGGTCCCGTACAGCGAGGGCGCACAGAGGTCTCGTACAGCGAGCAGCGCACAGAGGTCCCGTACAGCGAGCGCGCGCACAGAGGTCCCGTACAGCGAGGGCGCACAGGCAATGGATGCGGGGGGGAAGTTTAGAAACGTCCACCCGCATCGGCAGCGTTCCTGTCTGGCTGTTTATCAACATTATTATTTTTATTATACAGGATTTATATGGCGCCAACAGTGTGCTCGGTGCTGTACAAAATGAAGGCAGACATGACAGTTACAATACAATTTGGTACAAGAGGACACAGAGGGCCCTGATCCTGGGAGCTTACAATTTAGGGGAAGAGTCGAGTGATACAAAAGGTAATAGCTGTGGGGGATGGGCTGATGGAGGAAATAAATGGCGGTTTACTAGGTAGAAGCAGGATAGACTTCTTTAAAGAGAAAGGTTTTCAGGGATCATCTAAAGGTGGATAGATTAGGAGATAGCCGGACAGATTGGGGTAGGGAGTTCCATAGGATGGGAGAAGCATTGGAGAAGTCCTGGAGGCGAGCATGGGAGGAGGTGACACAAGAACTAGAGAGCAGAAGGTCTTGGGAGGATCAAAGAGAGCGGTTTGGTTGATATTTTGAGACCAGGTTGGTGATGTAGCTGGAGGCAGAGTTGTGGATGGCTTTGTAAGTTGTTGTTAGTATTTTGAATTTTATTCATTGGGTGAGAGGAAGCCAGGGATTGGAGGGACTGAGTGGAAGGTGGAGGGATTGGCAGAGGGGTGGAGGCACACTGAATGGAGGTCAGTGGAGGGATTGGTAGAGAGGGGTGGAGGACACTGATGGAGGTCAGTGGATGGATTGGCAGAGAGGGGTGGAGGACACTGAGTGGAGGCCAGTGGAGGGATTGGCAGAGGGGGTGGAGGACAGTGAGTGGAAGCCAGTGGAGGGGTTGGCAGAAAGGGGTGGAGGACACTGAGTGGAGGCCAGTGGAGGGATTGGCAGAGAGGGGTGGAGGACACTGAATGGAGGTCAGTGGAGGAATTGGCAGAGAGGGGTGGAGACACTGAGTGGAAGCCAGTGGAGGGATTGGCAGAGAGGGGTGGAGGACACTGATGGAGGCCAGTGGAGGAATTGGCAGAGAGGGGTGGAGGACACTGAGTGGAAGCCAGTGGAGGGGTTGGCAGAGAGGGGTGGAGGACACTGAGTGGAGGTCAGTGGAGGGATTGGCAGAGAGGGGTGGAGGACACTGAGTGGGGGTCAGTGGAGGGCAGAGAGTGGAGGACACTGAGTGCAGGGCAGTGAAGGGATTGGCAGAGGGGAGGAGGACACTGAGTGGGGTCAGTGGAGGGATTGGCAGAGAGGGGTGAAGGACACTGATGGAGGGCAGTGGAGGGATTGGCAGAGAGGGGTGGAGGACACTGAGTGGAGGTCAGTGGAGGGATTGGCAGAGAGGGGTGGAGGACACTGAGTGGAGGACAGTGGAGGGATTGGCAGAGAGGGGTGAGGACACTGAATGAAGGTCAGTGGTAGGGATTGGCAGAGAGGGGTGGAGGACACTGAGTGGAGGTCAGTGGAGGGATTGGCAGAGAGGGGTGGAGGACACTGAAGTGGAGGTCAGTGGAGGGATTGCAGAGGGGGTGGAGGACACTGAACCTTAGTAAGCTGGATGAGCCTGGCAGCAGTATTCATGATGGACATGGGCCAGATGGGAGCGATGCCGATGGGGGTGGACATTTCTAAACATCCCCCCGCATCCATTGCCTGTACGCGCTCCCTGGGAACGTGCGCACCACAATCTAGACACAGCAGAACACAGAAGCTGTAATGGACCTCTCTGCGAGGTCCCGATCATGTGATCACTGATTGGCCAATCACTGAACACATGAAGAGTAGTAAGCAAGATGTCACTTCCAACATCATTGCTTACTACGTGTGAAATATGTGAATGACCACAGAGGTCACATGGTACAGGGCCATTCACAACAGCCTTGTACCATACAACAAGCTGTGACCAATCACAGCTCACTCAGTACTTCTCAATGGCTGCAGGAATGCAGCCAGAGAGAAGGAGAAATTATTGCTTTTACAGCCTTTATGGATATAAAAGTAATCGGGGTAAAAAAAAAAAAAAAAAATCTTCATCACCCCCCACAAGTAGTGCAGTGTCACCATGGTGACCCCACACTGCTAGGGTGACAGTATGTAAAAAAAAACATAAATAATAAAATAAAATAATAAAACAAAAATGTAAAAAAAAAAAATTTTAAATTATAATTTTTGGTTGTAAACTAATTTGGGTTATTTATTTATTTTTTACTTAAAAGATAAAAGAATAAATTTTGGCCAAGATATTTATGAAGAAAGATTATTTATTTGCAAAACATTTTAAGAAAAGCACTTTTTTTCAAAATTTTTGGACTTTTTCATTTACATAGCAAAAAAATAAAAATCCCAGCGGTGAATAAATACCACCAAAATAAAGTTTTATCCATCTCAAAAAATGCTAAAACATTCATCTGGGTACAGTGTTGCATGACCGCGCAATTGTCATTCAAAGTGTGATAGCGCTGAAAGCTGAAAATTGGCCTGGGGGGGAAGGGGGTGAAAGTGTCCCGACTGGAAGGGGGGGAAAGTGCCCGGACTGGAAGGGGTGAAAGTGTCCGGACTGGAAGGGGGGGAAAGTGTCCGGACTGGAAGGGGGGGAAAGTGTCCGGACTGGAAGGGGGGGAAAGTGTCCGGACTGGAAGGGGGGAAAGTGTCCGGACTGGAAGGGGGTGAAAGTGTCCGGACTGGAAGGGGGTGAAAGTGTCCGGACTGGAAGGGGGGAAAGTGTCCGGTCTGGAAGGGGGGGGAAAGTGTCCGGACTGGAAGGGGGTGAAAGTGTCCGGACTGGAAGGGGGGAAAGTGTCCGGACTGGAAGGGGGGGAAAGTGTCCGGACTGGAAGGGGGTGAAAGTGTCCGGACTGGAAGGGGGGGGGGAAGTGTCCGGACTGGAAGGGGGGGGAGTGTCCAGACTGGAAGGGGGGGGGAGAGTGTCCGGACTGGAAGGGGGGGGGAGTGTCCAGACTGGAAGGGGGGGAGAGTGTCCGGACTGGAAGGGGGGGGGAGTGTCCAGACTGGAAGGGGGGGAGAGTGTCCGGACTGGAAGGGGGGGGAGTGTCCGGACTGGAAGGGGGGGAAAGTGTCCGGACTGGAAGGGGAGAAAGTGTCCGGACTGGAAGGGGGGGGGAGTGTCCGGACTGGAAGGGGGTGAAAGTGTCCGGACTGGAAGGGGGGGGGAGTGTCCGGACTGGAAGGGGGTGAAAGTGTCCGGACTGGAAGGGGGGGAAATTGTCCGGACTGGAAGGGGGGGGAAGTGTCCGGACTGGAAGGGGGGGAGTGTCCAGACTGGAAGGGGGGGAAAGTGTCCGGACTGGAAGGGGGGGAAATTGTCTGGACTGGAAGGGGGGGGGAAGTGTCTGGACTGGAAGGGGGGGGAAAGTATCCGGACTGGAAGGGGGGGGGATTTTTTTTTAGGGAAAGTGTCTGGACTGGAGGGGGGGGAAAGTGTCCGGACTGGAAGGGGGTGAAAGTGTCCGGACTGGGAAGGGGTGAAAGTGTCCGGACTGGAAGGGGGGGAAATTGTCCGGACTGGAAGGGGGGGGGAAGTGTCCGGACTGGAAGGGGGGGGAAAGTGTCCGGACTGGAAGGGGGTGAAAGTGTCCGGACTGGAAGGGGGGTGAAAGTGTCCGGACTGGAAGGGGGGGTAAAGTGTCTTTCACCCCCTTCCAGTCCGGGCATTTCCCCCCCCTTCCAGTCCGGACACTTCCCCCCTTCAACTCTTCCTCTATAGGAACTCTTCCTCATTGCAGGTAAATATTGGATTCCAATCAGAAGCAATGTGGTGTCATTGAGTTCATGATGAATGAGGGGTGCTGGTTGTCTGACACCCACAGAAGGCTCCAGCAAGACATTGCTCTCATCGATGGTGTCATCTCCATACACATTCTGTGGGTGTCGGTCACGTCTCGGATCAGGGCCACATCACTGTGTAGAGCCACAAAATCATCTTAAAGGACGTCCATCACGGGAGCCCCGTGGCCCCGCTCTCAGACGGGAATTATAAAAGTTTCATTGGCTGACTGGGTCACTGTGGTGATAATTAGGATGTGTCAGTGACACCGTCCAGAGATTCCTGTTTCCGCCTACTTGCTTTAATTACCATGTATGAGACTTGTCCTGCGATTACCCATCCAAGGAGAGATGATTATCATTGGTCGGGACATCGCGCTCCTCCGGGGATTGTCTTCTCTTCCAACAAAGATATAGAAAATACTTATTACCTGCAGAGAACGTTACTATTTCATCGAAGAATTCTGTTTTATTGATTTCTCTGTTAATCATTTACTTGTTAGTGACACCTACCGGTCTCCAAACTACAGAGATGGGGCACTACTCCTCCCACTGACACCAATGATGGGGCACTATTCCTCCCACTGACACCAATGATGGGGCACTATTCCTCCCACTGACACCAATGATGGGACACTATTCCTCCCACTGACACCAATGATGGGGCACTACTCCTCCCACTGATACCAATGATGGGGCACTATTCCTCCCACTGACACCAATGATGGGGCACTACTCCTTCCACTGACACCAATGATGGGGTACTATTCCTCCCCACTGACACCAATGATGGGGCACTACTCCTCCCACTGACACCAATGATGGGGCACTACTCCTCCCACTGACACCAATGATGGGGCACTACTCCTCCCACTGACACCAACAATGGGGCACTACTCCTCCCACTGACACCAATGATGGGGCACTACTCCTCCCACTGACACCAACGATGGGGCACTACTCCTCCCACTGACACCAATGATGGGGCACTATTCCTTCAAATGACACCAATGATGGGCAACTACTCCTCCCACTGACACCAATGATGGGGCACTACTCCTCCCACTGACACAAATGATGGGGCACTATTCCTCCCACTGACACCAATGATGGGGCACTATTCCTCCCACTGACACACCAATGATGGGGCACTATTCCTCCCACTGACACCAATGATGGGGCACTATTCCTCCCACTGACACCAATGATGGGGCACTATTCCTCCCACTGACACCAATGATGGGGCACTATTCCTCCCACTGACACCAATGATGGGGCACTATTCCTCCCACTGACACCAATGATGGGGCACTATTCCTCACACTGACACCACTGATGGGGCACTATTCCTCCCACTGACACCAATGATGGGGCACTATTCCTCCCACTGACACCACTGATGGGGCACTATTCCTCCCACTGACACCAATGATGGGGCACTATTCCTCCCACTGACACCAATGATGGGGCACTATTCCTCACACTGACACCACTGATGGGGCACTATTCCTCCCACTGACACCAATGATGGGGCACTACTCCTCCCACTGACACCAATGATGGGGGCACTATTCCTCACACTGACACCACTGATGGGGCACTATTCCTCCCACTGACACCACTGATGGGGCACTATTCCTCCCACTGACACCACTGATGGGGCACTATTCCTCCCACTGACACCACTGATGGGGCACTATTCCTCCCACTGACACCAATGATGGGACACTATTCCTCCCACTGACACCAATGATGGGGCACTATTCCTCCCACTGACACCAATGATGGGGCACTACTCCTCACACTGACACCACTGATGGGGCACTACTCCTCCCACTGACACCAATGATGGGACACTACTCCTCCCACTGACACCAATGATGTGGCACTATTCCTCCCACTGACACCAATGATGGGGCACTATTTCTCCCACTGACACCAATGATGGGGCACTATTCCTTCCACTGATACCAATGATGGGGCACTATTCCTCCCACTGACACTAATGATGGGGCACTACTCCTCCCACTGACACCAATGATGGGGCACTACTCCTCCCACTGACACCAATGATGTGGCACTAATCCTCCCACTGACACCAATGATGGGGCACTAATCCTCCCACTGACACCAATGATGGGGCACTATTCCTCCCACTGACACCAATGATGGGGCACTATTCCTTCCACTGACACCAATGATGGGGCACTACTCCTCCCATTGACACCAATGATGGGGCACTACTCCTTCCACTGACACCAATGATGGGGTACTATTCCTCCCACTGACACCAATGATGGGGCACTACTCCTCCCACTGACACCAATGATGGGGCACTACTCCTCCCACTGACACCAATGATGGGGCACTACTCCTCCCACTGACACCAACGATGGGGCACTACTCCTCCCACTGAAACCAACGATGGGGCACTACTCCTCCCACTGACACCAACGATGGGGCACTACTCCTCCCACTGACACCAACGATGGGGCACTACTCCTCCCACTGACACCAATGATGGGGCACTACTCCTCCCATTGACACCAATGATGGGGCACTACTCCTTCCACTGACACCAATGATGGGGTACTATTCCTCCCACTGACACCAATGATGGGGCACTACTCCTCCCACTGACACCAATGATGGGGCACTACTCCTCCCACTGACACCAACGATGGGGCACTACTCCTCCCACTGACACCAACGATGGGGCACTACTCC